GGAGGAGGAGGAGGAGAGGGTGGAGGAGGCGGAGGAGGAGGAGGAAGAGGAGCAGCAGCAACAGCAGCAGCAGCAGCAGCAGCAGCAGCAGCAGCAGTCGGGTTTGCCTTTGTCGTCGCCGCCGCCACCGCCGCCGCCGCCGCTGCCATTGTCGTCGGCGTCGGCGTCGGCGTCGGCGTCTCCGTCGTCGTCGTCGTCGTCGTCGTCGTCGTCGTCGTCGTCGTCGTCGTCGACGCGCCAGGCCTACTACGCGACGCAGAGCAAGGCCGCTGCCGTCCAGGATCCTCGGCGCTGGGGGTGAGTGGGGCCTCGCCGCTGCGCGACGGCAGCCTCCTCTGGCCCAGGCGCGCGCCGGAGTTGCGGCGGGTTTGCGGAACGTCTGCACAGCGACTGCCACCCCGATTATTTGTTTGTTGGTTTTGTTTTTCGGTACGTTTTACTTTTTTAGGGGTTCTTCAGCGGCGGCGCGGCCTCGTGGATGCACCGCTGAGCGCAGCTCGATTCAGGGGCCGGTCTTCAGCAGGGGTCGGTAATAGAGAGGTGTCGGCCCATGGCGTCGGTCCACGTGTCTGGGAGGGATCCAGGGACGATCCCTCTTTTTCTGTTTATTCAAAAATGCTCCACCAACGCGTAAACCAAGATCCTTCCACTAGAACGTGCTGGAATCGCTCGAAACTGCTATCCTCTCTTGAATCGTAACTCGCGTATGGCTTTCGGGCGAGAGTTTGTCGTGGCCGGCCCTGAGCAGAGATGTGGTCCTCGGCGCTTGCCTCGCGACGGCGAGGCCGGAGGACACCCTTGCCTCACGAGGGCGAGGCTCCGGGACGCCCCCGCTTCGCGACGCCGAGGCCTCGGGCCACCCTTGTCCCACGACCGCACGGCTTCGGGACACCCTTGCTGCACGACGGCGGGGCGGAGGAGGAGGAGGAGGAGGAGGAGGAGGAGGAGGAGGAGGAGGAGGAGGAGGAGGAGGAGGAGGAGGAGGAGGGAGGAGGAGGAGGAGGAAGGAGTTTGGAACAACAAAACACAGTGCTGCCCTCGGGAGGCTCGCGCCGCGCCGGCGCGGCGCCGCGGCGCTGGCACACGGCGAGGCCGCCGGCGGCCGGAGGTCGAAGCGGGGCGTTCTCGGGCGAGCTCCGCCGCGGGACCGCGGAGGCCGCGCGGGGCCGAGCGCAGGGCGCGGTGCAGAGCACCAGCGTCCACGTCGGCACGACCAGCCGCACGCTGGGCGCAGCGGTCTCGAGGCTTGAGGTTGAGGGGGAGGTTGAGGGGGAGGAGGAGGAGGAGGAGGAGGAGGAGGAGGAGGAGGAGGAGGAGGACGAGGAGGAGGAGGAGGAGGGGGAGGAGGAAAGGGAGGGGAGGAGGCGGGAGAAATGGCGGAGGAGGAGGAGGAGGCGGGAGGAGGAGGAGGAGGAGGAGAAGGAGGAGGAGGAGGAGGAGGACCAGTGTAAACTCAAGAGTCCTCATCGTTGTTGGAATAAACCCTCCCTCCAAGCTCCCTCTTCATAGGCCCCTACAACGGTTCATTTCCATTGAGGGAACTGCCTCGTTGGAAGACAACCGTTTGAAGACCCTGAAGCATGCCAAAACAGTGTTCTCTGGATTTCAACGCCACGGATCAACCTGATTGCTGCGTTTTGACCATCCCGTATCGTCTCAGAACGCCATTGTTGGAAATTCAACATCGCGAATCAATATAACTGTAGCACCCGCATAATCCTGAATCCTCCCGAAACACCATTCCTGGTACGTTGATCATGGGAATCCGTGCAACTCTTGCGAATTTGATGATCGAATGTGCGCGGCGCTAATGCGAGAGCTACATGTTGAAACCCACCCACCTTCAATAAGACGAAGGTGCTCGGCGCTAAGGCAAGAGCCACATTTTGAAAGCCACCCGCCCTCAATCCGTGAATCTTTTGCGTATTTGTTGCAACGAATGTGCGCGGCGCTGAGGCGAGAGCAACATTTTGAACACCACCCGCTCTCAATCCGTGAACCTCTTGCACATTTTAAGACGAAGGTGCTCGGCGCTAAGGCGAGAACCACGTTTCGAAAGCCACCCGCCCTCAATCCGTGAATCTCTTGCACATTTTTGCAACGAATGTGCGCGGCGCTAAAGCGAGAGCCACATTTTGAAAACGATCCGCCCTCAATTCGTGAAACTCTTGCACGTGTTTAGAACGAATTAGCGCGGCGCTAAGGCGAGAACCACATATTGAAGGCCACCCGCCCTCAATCTGTGAAGCTGTTGCCACTTCTTAAGCTTCAGAGTCATAAGTGGCGAGGAAGTCTCAGAGGAATCGCCTGGCCCGCCCTAAGAACAATCCTCGCGATGCGACAGGGAGAAGTTACGTATACGGAAAAGAAATGGAAGAGGAGGAGGAGGAGCCAGATTAGGAAGAGGATGAGGAGGAGGAGGAGGAGGAGGAGGAGGAGGAGGAGGAGGAGGAGGACGGGGGAGGAGGAGGACGGGGGAGGTCTAGCCAGCGGCGGCCCTGCGGTTGCCTACGGCCGCGGCCCCGCTCGGAGGGCAACCAGCAGCCGCTAGATATCAAACGATCGAGTGAGCGAGGAGGAGATGGAGGTTGGCAGCGCTGCCGCCGCCGCCGCTGCACGCCACCGCTCGATCGTTCGACCGATGATTCACGTACGTTAAACTGCCGCGTGCGAGATCGACTCACGATGGTCGAAACGGCAGAAACGGGAGGAGGGCAGCACGTGTGTGTCCCCTTCGACCCCTCCCGCCTCTTCAGAGGGGGAGGGTGGCGGCTGGGGTTCGGGCTCGGGGCTCGGGTTCGGGCTCGAGGCTGGGGCTGAGGGGGGAGGACGGGCGCGAGGGGGGGGGGGGAGGCAGAGGAGGGAGAAGGCAAAAGGGGCAGCAGGAGTGCGAGGCAGGAGGGGCATAAGGGGCAGGAGGTGGTTGGAGCAGAGGGAATCGAGTGATGGGGGGAGAATGTGTGAGGCAGCGGGGTGACGGATGAGGGGGTGCAACGGCAAGGCCTGCTATGGTATGCTACGTGGTGCTATGCTATGCAGTGTTGTGCTGGATCGTGTTGCTTTGCATAACGTGTACCTCATGTGCACCTCATGGCATGCACTGCGCACGTATGCTTCCAGCCAAGACAACTCTCACTGGGGTCGCGCCAGGCAGGTTCATGGCTCGCATTCGCGCCGCACATATTGGTCTTACACAGCTTGGCAACAACTACGGATGGAGGATGGTCCTTGAAATATGTGGCTATCGCTTTTGTCTCCTCACGTGTGGCTACCAGGATTGACCCGCTCAGTAGCTACACGGATGATTGCACATATTTTCGAATGCCTGCTTCTCGCTCGCCTGTGGGCTTTTCGTATGTTCTGTCAAGATCCACAACTGTGCGACGGAGGGCGTCTGTTTACTTCTGTTTCGGGCTTTCGTTCTGCATCCGTGCGCACTTTTCAGAACTTCTGCCAGCCTCAGGGACGGAGGATAATTCTCCCTGGTTGTGGCCTGTGAAGATCGCAGCCGAATATGAACATATGATCGTTGATCAGCATTTCAAGTCCCACCGGGTTCCCACTGTGCAGGTCCATGGGGGTTCTCACGTTTTCAGCGAATGCTCGCTGCCGTGGACAAAAATGCTCATTTAGACTCATGGTCAGTGGGCATTGCAGTTGGACAATTTCTTCTTAACGCTTCGCGTATCCCTGCCATCCCACTATGTACAATTCGTTTGCCTTCCCGGTGGTCTCGCCTTTGGAATGGTTGCACTTCAGCTGCCTGGCACACCTTGCACCTTTTGCAGCTCTGCCTTCAGTCCCAGGGGTCGCTCCTCGGAGTCCCTCGGCGGCAGTTTCGGCGGCCGTTAGTTCGCGCGCTTAGGTAATTAGGTTTGGCTCGTAGCCCGGGCTGACTTCGGACGCCGCCTGCGCTTCCGCTTGCGGCCGCGACGAAACACAACTCCTTGCCATTCCATCCAGGAGCGATCGGCAAGCGAGCTGCCTTGACCAGGGGCATGCGTTAACATATAGTGCAACATAACAAAATCAGTTATTCGTAAAGTCAGAGCTCGGAGTCACCCTGGGCATTTCCTTGCGTATACTTGTTCTGCCTGCCGTCGAAGGAGGGGGCGGCTGAGAACGTGGAGGAGGGGGATGGATGGGGATAACGAGAGAGGATGACGCAGGAGAGGAGGTGGGGTGATGATGAGGACGACCACAAGGAGATGGAAGAGGGCGAGGATGTGAGAGGAATGCGAACGACGAAGACGACGGCGAATCTTTATAATAATATCAATAATTCCAATCGTATGAACAGTAGTTCTTATTGCAATAATTATAGCAGTGATGGTAACAATAATACAACTAGCAATGCGGACAATCATAACACGAATCATAGTAATGCCAATACTCGTAATACGAACATGAACAAGATACATGCGATCATCACGAAAACTACTACAGCTAACATAAAGAAACAAGTCATACTAGTCAAAACAATAGTATTTCGAAGGAAATGTGATACTCATAGTCGAAACAGTTATCATAAGAAGACTCCGAGGACGGCGATGACGACAACGAGGAAGAGGAGGAGCCAGATTAGGAGGAGGAGGAGGAGGATGAGGAGGATGGCAGGAGTCAACCATGAAGGTATTTGCGGGCATTTCGCTCTTCAGAGCCTCCTGGGTGCTTCTTGGAGCCCTCCTTTGGCCTTCGCGGGCCATCTTTGGAGCTCTCGGAGCCCTCTTGGGGCCCCTTGGACGCCCTCTTGGGGGTCTCGAGGGCCCTCTTGGGGCCCTCTTGGAGGCAATCGAAGAAGAAAGGGGCGGCGCCGACTAGCGTTGCCTCTCTGGAGCCCGAATGCTCGCCTCTTGGGGCCGTCTTGAGCCTCTCCTGGGCCCCTCCTGCGCGATTGTGGGGCCTTTGTGAGGCCTCGGGCGCCCATCGGAAGGGGAACGGCGAGAAGTAAGACACCATGGAAACACATACGTTGTTGGAGGCCTTTGGCATCTCGGGGGTCTGCTTGGGTCGCTCCGTGGCCAGTTGGAGCCGTCTTGGGGTGGTCGTGTGGCCTCCTGGAGGCATGTTGGAGGTCATCTTGAGCCATCTTGGGCTACCTTGAGTAATTATCGAGGCCATCTTGAGGTATCCCAGATTATCTTGGCATCTTGGATGACACCTCGCGCCTTCCCGGCCCATGGGAGAGGGGGGGGTGGTAGGGGAAGGGTGAGCCTCATCCCCGAGGGGGAAGTATAAGAGTCGAAAAGGAGCCTGGTTAAACCACCACCGCCCAATGGGTTGGTGGGATCACAGCATCAATGGCGTGACTGCTTTGCTTACTCTTGTCCACCTCCTTTTCCTCTTCCTCCTCCTCCTTCTTTCCCTCTTCCTCGTCCTCCCCCCTCTTGTCCTTGTGCTCCTCATTCCTCTCCTCATCTTCCCCTTCCTCCTCCTCCTCGTCCTCCTCCTTCACCTCCTCCCTATCCTCCCTCCTCGTCGTCCTCCTCCTCCCTCCTCCCTCCTCCCTCCTCGTCATCCTCTTCCTCCTCTTCCTCTTCCTCCTCTTTCTCCTCTTTCTCCTCCTCCTCCCTTCCTCCCTCCCCTTCCGCTCCCCCTCCCCCTCCCTCTCCCCCCCCCTCCCCCCCCGTCCCGGCCGCCTTCCCTGCAGGAGAAGTACGAGAAGTACTGGCCCAGGAAGATCATGATGGTCTTCGGGGCGCCCGGCGCCGGCAAGGGCACCCAGGGGCCGAAGATTGTGGACCGCGGTGCGGCGGTCCTCCTTCACCGAGCGCGTTCCACTACTCGAGAAGTGCCTACTCGCAAGCGGCAGAAAAAACATGCGCATGCGCGCCTCGATGTAATGGATCGTAAGCCCCTCGCGGCGAATCCTGGCCGCCTGCGAGTGGTTGCTCTGTGAGTAGCAGTGGAGCGCGCTTGTCTGCTCCTGTCCCTGTCGCACGTCGGCGGCTCGAAGATGGTGCTCTGAGGGGTGGGGCCCCGAGGATGGGGACGGATCCCGGGGTGAGTTGGCGCGGCCCCTCGTCCAATATAGGACCCCATCCCTCGTGGCCCCGTCTTCGCGCCGCCGGGTGTGCCTCCTCGTTGGTGCTTCTGCTTTGTCTGATGTGCTTCGGCTTCCCTCGCCAGCAAGTTTCCTGGGGTGAAAAAAACAACGCCCACCCCCATGAGTGGCATTTCCTAAACGGCCCTGGGCGTTTAGCTGGACATCCCTTCCCTGTTCGATCCATCTCCTTGGGTGCTTTGGCTAGATGGCTTCGCCTGATGGGGTGGACCGTCTGCTCTCTCTGGAGCTGCTTGGCCGTCGCCGTGCCTGCTGCCGCTCCGCCTCCCTCTGACCTCCTCCCCTCCCGCGCGCTCGTCGCTTCCTCCCCTGGCCTTCCCCCCTTCTCGCCCCTCGCCCTCTTTTCTCCCTCCTCCTCCTCCTCCTGCTGCTGCCCCGTTTCGCGCCCCTCCTCCTCCTTCCTCCTTCCTTCTCCTCCTCCTCCTTCTCCTCCTCCTCCTCCTTATCTCCTCCTCCTCCTCCTCCTCCTCCTCATCCTTCTCCTCCTCCTCCTCCTCCTCCTCCTCCTCCTTCTCATTCTCCTCCTCGTCGACCGCTCGGCCAGGATGGGCCAGGTTCTCGCTCGGCAGCAACGGCTCGGCCCTTCTTTCGTGGAGGCGGGCGTCCCGTTCTGTGCCGTTCTGCTCCTCTTTCTCCTCCTCCTCCTCCTTCCCCTCCTCGTCCTTCTTCTCCTCTCCCCCCCCTCCTCTCCTCCCTTCCCCTCCTGTCATTTCCTCTCCTCCTCTCCTCCTCCTCCTCCTCCTCCTCCTCCTCTTTCCTCCCCCTCCTCCTCCTCCTCCTCCTCCTCCTCCTCCTCCTCCTCCTCCTCCTCATTCTCCATGACCCTGGGCAGGCCGTGCCCGGGAGCACCACTCGCACGCGGATCCCCGCGAGCGGGCGGCTCGATCCTCACGCCGGCCGCGCCGTAGCGGACGAGCCGCATGGCGCGCGTCGGTGCCGAGGCAGCTCCCCAAAGCGCCGGACTGATCGGCGCCTTCCCGGGCGCCCGCGGCTGCGCGGGGCGCCTGCTGTTTGCTCGTCAAAAAGCTGAGGCTGCGGATCCTTTCAGAAGCGCCAGATGCCGAGCCTCCCCCTCTGGCTGGGGGAGGAGGAAGAGGAGGAGGATCAGGAGGAGGGGGAGGAGGACAGGGAGGATGAGGACGAGGAGGCGGAGGAGGAGCAGGAGGATGAGGATGACGAGGTGGGCGGAGGTGGAGGATGAGGAGGAGGAGGATGAGAAGGAGGAGGATAATGAGGAGGAGGAGGAGGCGGAGGCGGAGGTGGAGGCGGAGGAGCAGGAGGATGAGAAGGAGGAGGAGGACAAGGAGGAGGACGAGGAGCGGGAGGAGGAGGACGAGGATCAGGAGGAGGATGAGGGGTGAAGAGGGATCAGGATGACGATGATGATGGTTCAGGTGGTGGTGGACATGGTCATGATTCTGACGCTGATCATGATACTGATGGTCAGGATGATGAGGTTGTTGCTGCGGATGATGCTGATGATGATGACGATGCTGCTGATGATGCTTAGATGAAGGTGCTGATGCTGATGATGCTGCCGATGATGCCGATGACGATAGCGAGGACGATGCCGACGACGATGACGTTGACGATTGATGTTGATAACGATGAGGATGATGATGGTGATGGTGATGATGATAACGATGATGCTGACGATGCTGACGATGATGATGCTGATGCTGATGCTTATTATGATGATGATGCTGATGATGATGATAATTCTGATGCTGATGGTGAAGTGGATGATCATGACGATGCTGATTATGATGCTGATGCTGCTGCTGATGCTGCTGCTGATGATGGTGCCGATGATGATGATGATGATGCTGATGATGCTGGCGACGATGACGACAATGCTGATGCTGATGATGATGCTGCTTTTGATGATGATGCTGATGATGATGATGCTGATGATGTTAAGGCTGATGATGATGATGATGCTGATGCCAATGACGATCACGATGACGATGCCGATAATGATGATGCTTACGATCGTGCTGATGATGACGATGCTGATGTTGATATTGACGATGCTGCTGCTGATGATGATGATGATGCTGATGACGATGGTGATGATGATTATGATGATGCTGATGATGATGACGTTGATGATGATGATGATGACGACGATAATTCTGATGATGATGGTGATGATGATGGTGATGATGATGATGATGATGATGTTGACGACGATGATTCTGATGATGATGATGCTGATGATGATGATGAGGATGATGATGAGCTGCTGCTGCTGCTGATGCTGATGCTGCTGCTGCTGATGATGATGATGATGATGATGAGGAGTAGGAGGAGGAGAAGAAGGAGGAGGGCCGCCATACTGAGGGGATGAATTCAAGCCGCATGAGTAAGCACGAAACGTACATCGCCAACATCACCGACACGATGCTGAGCCTCCGCCTCAGCCTGGACACGGAGGTTCCGCATAATAGTGCACGATATGGTCTATCACACTTTCTACCACGAGAGAACCACACCGTCGGACCAGCTAGCACGAGACACACAGGGTCCAGCGACGCAACTACGACCAGCTCCCATCGTGCTACCACATCGACCCAACCCACCGACGCTGCCTCCACCCTCCGCATTCCCATCCGGGAAGTGCGGCTCCCAAATACAGGGACCAGCTGCAGCCGCGGCAACGACCCCAGCGCAGCTTGGCAACTAGGAATCCCTGCCCCATGTTGCCTGCAGGGCCCGTGGCACGGGCCACCCTCGCCGTGAGGAGCAGCAGCATCAATACTACTTCTTCTCGCGTCCGATCTCTGACGCTGCAGGCGCCCTCGCGGGGCGCAGCACTCCCATGCTTCCACCAGCTGTACTCCATGACGTTACAACCACAGTCAGCGGGCTCTTACCTTTCCCATAGCTCCCGCGGTCTTTCGCCGCTGCTGCGCACTCACTGCCACCGCGGCAGCAGCAACACCAGCAACCACGCGGCACGGCAGCGGCGATCTTCTCACCTACGTAGCAGGGCAGCGCAGTGCAATTTCAGCACGCGCCTACACCCGCAGCTGCAACCTCTTCTGCTGCAGCTGCTTCGCCGACCTCACGTCCTCAAGCTCGTCGGGGTCCAGGGCGCACTCCTCACCTGCACCCTCCGAGGCCGCCTCCAGGCACTCCCTGACCCTCACCTCCCTCTCCTCCTCCTCCTGCAGCCCCCCAACCCCCTCCACCCCACCCTCCCCCTCCCCCCCCACACTCCCTGACCCTCACCTCCCTCTCCTCTTCCTCCTGCAGCGCCCCTCCCCCCGCCTTTCGTCCACCAACCCCCTCCACCCCACCCCTCCGCGCCGCGCGCCGGGGACGGAGGCAGGCGGGCTTGCGGGGCGAGCAGGGCCACGCAGAGCCCGGCGGGGGTGTGGGGCACAGGAGCGCTGCCGCGCCCGTCGCGGGCCGCACAGCCGCACAGCCCCCGCGGCGGCCGTGGACCACGTGGCCGCGCCAACCTCGAGGGCCACGCCGAGGGGGCCTGCCGCTCCCCCTCCACGGGGCGTGGGGCCCTCTGGAGGGCTTGTGGAGCCGTCTCGAGACGCCGTCTGAACCGTCGGGGGGCCATCTGACGCTCTCTTGAGGCCGTCTCGGGGCCCTCGGAAGCCGTTTCGGGGCCCTCCTGAGGCCCTCTCGGGGCCCTCTGGCCAGTTCGCCCGAAGAGATGCGAAGAAGCAGGCCATGTGAGCCGCCCCGCTCGGGCCACTTCCGCCACGTCCTCCTCCTCCTCCTCCTCCTCCTCCTCCTCCTCCTCCCCTTCCTCCTCCTCCTCCCCTTCCTCCTCCTCCTCCTCCTCCTCTCCTCCTCTCCTCCTCCTCCTCCCTCCTCCTCCTCCTCCTCTCCCTCCTCCTCCGGGCCCTGCGCTTGCTTGCCTCGTTGATGCTCCCTCCTCCGTCGCACGCCCCGCCGCCCTCTGTGCTGCCCGCCGCGCCCTCGCCCTGCCCGCCCCCCCCCCCCGCCCCCGCGCCGCCTCTCTTCGCCGCGGCTGCCGCGCCGCGCCTCGGAGCACCGTGCTCCCTCCCGCCTCCTCTTAAGTCGGGCCTGTCCCTCTGCAGGAGTTTGCCACTATTTTCGAACATTTCTGGAGTATGTTTGGGGTATTTCTCATTTTTCGTCCAAAATCCCCCTGTACGGGGACAGGCCCGACCTGAGCCTCCTCGCGGGCCTCGGGCAGGACGGGCAGGAGGCGGGCCCCCGCTCGAGGCGAGGCGCGCCGAGGCGGGCCTCGGGTCCCCCCCCTATGGGGGCCGGGGGCCCACGTGCGCCACCCTGGCGCCCGCGCAGCGCCGGCGCGCGCAGGCGCCATTTTCTCCTCTCGTCCTCCCCCCCGAGTATTCGGGCGAAGGGAACAATGCACATGCACCGGTCCTGGCCAGGCCCATCCTCGGCCCCAGGATCGGTGCACATGCCTTCCTGGCCAAGGCTAGGGGGTCGTATGCACCGACCCTGGGCTCAGGATGGACCTGGCCAAAATCGGTGTATGTGCATGGTTCCTTTTCCTCTAGAGTATGTCATCGTCGCCCACCCACCCTTCTTTCTCTCTCTCTCTCTCTTTTATCCTCTCGGTGCTCGTGCTGCCCTCCCCCGGCGCCGGCTGGGAGGAGGGCAGGCGAGGGCATCGGGGCGCTCGCTCGAGACTGTCCGCAGCTCGAGGCTCGCCGGAGGAGGAGGAGGAGGAGGAGGAGGAGGAGGAGGATGAGGAGGAGGAGGAGGAAGAGGAGGAGGAGGAGGAGGAGGGAAAGAAGAAGGAGGAGGAGTAGGCGGAGGAGGAGGAGGAGGAGGAGGAGTATGCGGAGGAGGAGGAGGCGGAGGAGGAGGAGGAGGAGGAGAAGGAGTAGCCTGGAAGTGTAAAAGGATCATAGTACGATCTCACCGTGTGAAGCTTGGCTCTTGATGAGAGCAGGAGGAGGTGGAGGAGGGGGGGAGGAAGTGCAGGGAGGGACCAGGTGAAGGCGGAGAGGAGGACCCTCCTACTTTTATATCATCTCCCTTTCTGTTTCTTTTGCCTTATCCTCATTCTCCTGACCCCCTCGGAACCTCCTCCCCCTCTTAGCCTCCTAACCCCTTCCTTCCCCTCCCCCTCCACAATTACACAATATGAAAATACTCTCCCACTTCCCCTGATGGCGTCCCGAAGATATCGACCACCCCCCGCGTACTGTTTTTTTACACACAGGATTCCCGGGGGAACGGGGGTTTTCGCTCTGCGTTTTTTTTGTTTTTTTTTTTGTTTTTTTTTTTTTTTTTTTTTTTTTTTTTTTTTTTTTTTTTTTTTTTTTTTTTTTTTTTTTTTTTTTTTTTTTTTTTGTTTTTTGTTTTGTTTTTCTTTTCCAAAATGCTGCTCTCGCTGAGGCGCCGGCCTCATTTCTGCTCCCGAATCGTTCCGAATCGTGCTCCCGCTGCAGCGTGGGCCTCATTTTCGGATCGGTGTTTGGCCTCCGTCGTTCAGGATGGCGTTCTCGCCCCAGCGCGGGCCTCTTTCTCGCGCGCCCATCCGCCCGCCACCACCGCGCCGCACCACCACCACCACCACCACCACCACCACCACCACCACCACCACCACCACCACCACCACCACCACCACCACCACCACCACCACCACCACCACCACCATCACAACCACCACCAGCACCAGCACCACCACCAGCACGAGCACCAGCACCAGCACCACCACCACCACCAGAACCAGGTCACCAGCACAGCAACAGCACAGCACCAGGCACCAGCTACCAAGCACCTAGCAACCAGCACCAGCACCAGCACCACCACCACCACCACCACCACCACCACCACCACCACCACCACCACCACCACCACCACCACCACCACCACCAACCACCACCACCACCAGCACCACCACCACCAGCACCACCACCACCACCACCACCACCACCACCACCACCACCACCACCACCACCACAACCACGCACACACGCACGCACGCACGCACGCGCACCACACCCACTAGTTACGCACGCGCGCGCGGAGCCACAGGTCCGCTACGACACGCGTCCGCGGATAGAGAAAATCAGCGCCATGGTAAGGGATGGGAGGGAGGGGTAGGACGTCAGATATGACGCGAGCGCACCTAGCTTGCCCTTTCCCCCCTCTTTTTCCCCCCATTCCTACGTCCGCCTCGCCACTCCCCCTTCCTCCTCCTCCCCCTCTCCTCCTCTCCTCTACCTTTCCTCTCTCCTACTCCTCCTCCTCCTCCATCTCCTCTCTCTTCCTCCTATTCCATTCCTCCTCCTCCTCCTCCTCTTTCCTCCTCCTCACCCTTCTCGTCCTTCTCTGCCTTTTCCTCCTCCTCATCCTCCTCTGCCCTTTCCTCCTCCTCCTCCTCCTCCTCCTCCTCCTCCTCCTCCCTCCTCTCCCTCCGTCCCCCCCCGTCCGTTTCCTCCCTCCCTCCCGTGCGCTCCGTGTGCCGCCCGGTGCCCAGCCGCGCCGCCCTGGTGCCCCGAGGAGATGCTGGACATCCCGCAGCTGAGCACGGGCGACATGCTCCGGGAGGCCGTGGCGGCGGGCACCGAGGCGGGCGGGATGGGGGAGGGTCAGGGGTCCCGGGTCGAGGATCGAGGATCTAGGATCCAGGGTCCGGGACCGAGGAGGAGGAGGAGGAGGAGGAGGAGGAGGAGGAGGAGGAGGAGGAGGAGGAGGAGGAGGAGGAGGAGGAGGAGGGAGGAGGAGAGGAGGAGGAGGAGGAGGAGGAGGAGGAAGAGAGGATGGGGAGGAGGAGGAGGAGAGGAGTAGGAGGAGAGGAGGAGGAGGAGGAGGAGGAGAGGAGGAGGAGTAGGAGGAGGAGGATTATGAGGAGGAGGAGCAGGAGCAGGAGCAGGAGCAGGAGGAGCACGAGGAGGAGGAGGAGGAGGAGCACGAGGAGGAGGAGGAGCAGGATGATGATGATGATGATGATGATGATGATGATGATGATGATGATGATGATGATGATGATGATGATGATGATGATGATGCTGATGCTGATGCTGATGCTGATGCTGATGCTGATGCTGATGCTGATGCTGTTGCTGATGCTGATGCTGCTGATGATGATGCTGATGCTGATGCTGATGCTGATGATGGTGATGATGCTGCTGATGCTGCTGATGATGTTGATTTTGATTTTGATGACGATGCTGTTGTTGATGATGATGACGACGATGATGATGATGCTGCTGACGATGATACTGATGATGCTGCTGCTGATGATGATGCTGATGATGCTGCTGATGATGAGGATGATGATTATGACGACGATGCTGATGATGTTGATGATCATGCTGATGCTCATGCTGATGGCAATGCTGATGATGCTGATGATGACGACGACCACGACGACCACGACGACCACGACGCTTGACGGTGAGCGGCGGCGACGACGACGACCCGAACGGAAGAGCCTTAAACATGCCGAAAGGGTTGGCAGGTTTTTGCGCAAGCGTGAACGCAATGTAGTCGCCAATTCTTGGTGAGCTCCACTACGCACTTAAGACATTCTGGAGCACGCGCTTCGATTTCCTCTTTCCATGCGTAGCCCTCGGCAGTTGTACCACTCTAGTCACTCATAGGGGGGGCACCTGTATCAGAGCTGCCCTGCCACGGGCTGGGTGGTAGAAGAGGGGTACTTCATTGACGACGCGTGGAATCTCCAGCCCCTCGTCATGTCTGGAAGAAATCGAGGATCGAGAAGGAGCAGGATCTAGGGTGGAAAAGAATGCGGATGATAATCCAGCGTCGAGGAGGGGGAGGAGAAGGTGGAGGAGGAGGAGGAGGAGAAGGTGGATGATGATGATGATGATGCTGCTGCTGCTGCTGATGATGATGATGATGATGATGATGATGATGATGATGATGATGATGATCACGATGATGCTGATTATGATGATGATGATGCTGATGATGCTGATGCTGATGTTGCTGCTGATGATGATGCTGCTGCTGGTTATGATGATGATGCTGAGGATGATGATGACGATGGATGATGCTGCTGCTGCTGATGATGATGTTGCTGCTGCTGCTGATGATGATGCTGATGTTGAACACGATGATTATGATGATGACGATGATGATGCTGCTGCTGATGATGACGATGATGATGCTGAGGCTGATGATGCTGATGCTGATGCTGATGATGATGATGCTGCTGATGATGATGATGATGCTGATGCTGATTATGATGATGATGGTGATGATGATGATGATGATGCTGACGATTATGACGATGATGATGATGCTGAAGATGCTGATGATGATGCTGCTGATGATGATGATGATGATGATGCTGATGCTGATGATGATGATGCTGCTGCTGATGATGATGATGCTGACGATGATGACGATGATGATGATGATGATGATGCTGATGCTGATGATGATGATGATGCTGATGATGATGACGATGATGATGATGATGATGAGATGATGTGATGATGATGTGATGATGCTGCTGATGAGAGAGATGATGAAGTGGTGATGATGATGATGATGATGATGATGATGATGCATGATGATATGAGATGATGATGAGATGCTGCTGCTGAGAATGATGATGTGATGTGAGATGATGATGATGAGGATGATGATGATGAGATGATGCTGATGCTGATGCTGATGATGATGATGATGATGATGATGATGATGATGATGAGATGAGATGATGATGATGATGATGATGAGAGAGGGAGCGAGGAGAGGAGGAGGAGGAGGAGGAGGATACGAATGATCTGGGGTAGGAGGTGGAGGAGTCCATGTTTTTGTTTGTGTGTTTTGTGTGTCTTTGATAGTTCGTTTTTTTGGGGAGTGGGGAGGTGGGGGTGCTCGATGCCTCTGAAGGCCTCTCCAAGGGCCGATGAGGAAGGGTTCAGGGCCAAGGGATCGAGGGGCGTTGGCGTCGCCGCGGCCGCGTCCGCCTCGATTTTTTCGTCAGAGCGGGCCCCAGGACATGTCCAGGGCTCGCGTTTCGAGGTTTCGAGGGAGGGGCTGGAGAAGTATGAGGATCAGGAGGAGGAGTCGGAGGAGGAGGAGGCGGAGGAGGAGGAGGAGGAGGAGGAGGAGGAGGAGAAGGAGGAGGAGGGGGAGGACCAGTGGAAACCCAAGACTCGTCAACGATGTTGGAATACACACTCCCTGCAAGCTCCCTCTTCATAGGCCCCATACAAGAAACTGCCTCGTTGGGAGAGAACCGTTTGAAGACCCTGAAGGGTGCCAAAACACCATTCTCGGGACTTCAACGCCCCAAATCCAACTTGACTGTTGCGCCTTCACAATCCATATTCCTTCCAAACACCGTCTCTGGCACGAGGAGGAGAAGGAGAAGGAGGAGGAAGAGGAGGAGGAAGAGGAGGAAGAAGACCTGTTTAAACCCGAGAGCCATCAACGATGTTGTAATACACCCTCCCTCCAAGCTTCCTCTTCACAGGCCCCATACAACGGTTCATTTCCATTGAAGGAACTGCCTCTTTGGAAGACGACCGTTCGAAGACCCTGAAGCTTGCCAAGACATTGTTCTCGGGATTCCGACGCCATGGATCAACCTGACTGTTGCGTGTTGACAATCCCGAATCGTGTCAGTACGCCATTCCTGGGATTTCAACAGCGAACCAACACAACTGCTTCACCCGCGTAATCCTGAATCTTTTCAAACTACCATTTCAGGCACGTCGATAGAATCCGTAAAACTCTTGCAATTGTTTAAAGCGACTGTGCGTTGCGCTCAGGCGAGAGCCACATTTTGAACAGGAGCCGCCCTCAATCCGTGAAGCTCTTGCATTTCTTAAAAAAACGAATGTGCGCCGCGCAAAGACGAGAGCCGCATTTTGAAAAGGAACGGCCCTCAATCCGCGAAGTTCTTGCATTTTTCAAACGAATGTGTGCCGCGCTAAGGAGAGAGCCACATTTTGAAGACGATCCGCCCTCAATCCGTGAAGCTCTTGCAATTTTGTTTAAACGAATATGCGCAGCGCTAAGGCGAGAGCCACATTTGAAAGGAACCGCCCTCAATCCGCGAAGCTCTTGCAATTAAAAAACGAATGTGCGCCGCGCCAAGGCGAGAGCCACATTTTGAAAGCCACCCGTCCTGAATCCGTGAGGAGGAGGAGGAGGGGGAGGAGGAGGGAGAAGGAAGGAGGAGGAGGAGGAGGAGGAGGGCGAGGAGGGGGGGGCGGGAGCGGAGGAGGGAGAGGAGGAGGAGGAGGAGGAGGCGGAGGAGGGCGGAGGAGGAGGAGGAGAGGAAGGAGGAGGAGAGGAGGAGGAGGGAGGGATGGAGGGAGGGAGGGAGGAGGGAGGGAGGTGTGAAGAGTGCACTCCCCTGCCCCTCTGCCGCCCGTGCCACCATGTGTGTATGTTGTACACGCTTGTCTTGTTTTGTGGCATGCACGCTGCCCGCCGCTGTTTTGGCCCTAGTCCTAGGGCCCTGGGACGCACCCGCAGTTGGACTGCCGCGCGGTCTTTGCTGAAAACAACTGCGCTGACATTGGTAGCGGAGCTAGTAAGCTCCAGCGGACGCACTGCGTGCTCTGCTTCGGTGATTGTGACCACCCGCTTGGGCCGCCATGGCCACCAGCCACGACGGCTCAGACGTGGAGGCTGCGTCCTCCGCAGGCACAGGTCCCCCGGACCTGCATGCAGTCCTGCGCGTGATGGCCGAGACCCAGCGGGAGCTCTTGGCCTTGCATCGGGATCGTGGCGACGGCGGTCCCAGACGTACACGTCTACTGCTGTCGCAGGTGAGGCTCCCAGAGTTCGATGGTGGAGTCGGTACGAGTACTAAGAAGTACCGGGAGTGGCGCAAGGAGGCTGAAGTCATCCGCAACCTCAATCAGCTCTCAGACGTGGAGCTGGGCCTGATCATCTACAGTCAAGTGACAGGTCGAGCCAAAGAGCTCATCGAGGTGCTTGACGCGTCGGACCTCCGACGCGAGGAGACGCTCGAGACCATCTTTGCTATCTACGACGACGCCTTCGAGAAGATGGATCACGAGCGCCTCGATCAGGTGCATCAGGATTGGGAGCGAGCACACCGTCGAGCTGGGCAGCCGATCATGGATTGGACCACGTACCTGCGCAAGAAGCGCATGGAGTTGCAGCTCGAGGATCCCACATCAGCGATCAGCGATCGCGCATTGGCAAGCAAGATGCTTCGTGGCGCTGGACTGTCGCAGAAGGAGCGAGCGCAGGTGCTCTTCAACTGTGGCGGCATCTACGACTCGAAGCGGATGGAGGTTGTGCTGAAGGCAGCCTATTCGAAGGTGCACGACGCCGAGAAGCGCTCAGTGCTCCCTCGCCGCTCGCCGTTTGCGGCGCAGCGTGAGCACGGGCGCTCCTCTGGGAGTTCGGGCGGTCGCTATCCGCGCCCTCCCATGGCTCGTAGGCCATGCGTGCTGCGAGGGCGCCCTGGCCAGCACGTACACGAGGTAGAGAACGGCGAAGACTACGATGAACACCACGGCGACCTCGAGGAGGCGCATCATGAAGAAGATGAAGCAGACGACCAGGACGATGGAGACCATGGAGGGGCCGAGGGCACCCTCTTCGAG